TTAAGTTTCACGAATTCTACATTTTGTGTTTATTCTTAACTGTAGTATAAAATGTCAGTGTAAAACTTGCCATAATTCATTTATTATTTTTACAATTACAAATCATGGTTGTAAGCAACCTCATACATGTTTGTGGTATGTTAGTGTAGATATCTAAGAGAATCATTGTTCTACTAATGCTACATTTAAAAGGAATGTCATGGAAACTGATAGTTAAGTGGTGGTTATCAGAGGCTGTGGAGAGCTTATAGGACCAAGAAATTCTAGTACAGTCTGATGAATATGGATAACAATAATATACTATATTTCAAGAAAGCTAAATTTTGAAAATTTTCACCATAGAAGAAATGTTTGATGAGTTGAATGTATTTAACACGATTTAAACATTACATACTATGTGCATGTATCAAAATATCACATTAATCCACTAATGTGTACAATTTTTATGTTTTTAAGTTTGAGTTAAAATAAATTTAATTATAATATGACCCCCTCCAAATCTCCTTGTCAATAACATTAGCATTTATTTTTTGCTCATATATTCCTGGACCAACTGGTCCATACATACCCAACATAACCTGGGTTTCGCTGAAGATGTAGATTGATTTCAAACATTCTACAAGAGACTCTTCTTCTCTTCCTTAGACCAAAAGCTCAGCGGGGCCTCTCCAGATAAAAAGTAGAAAAGCATAACATAGAAATCTTAAGGTAATACATGCAAAACTCTGCTTCCACATCATGTCTGCCATCTCTCCTGGTATGATAGGAATTTAGAATGTCCTCAAGGTGTCACAAGAAATCACAGATAAGGCTTTTGTAAGATAATTGTATCATAGATATACAACACTTCTCAATAAATTAATCCATTAATGAATTCATGGCTGAATGTTCTGTCAGGGTGTGGGACCTGAGGGGAACAGGAGTGTCATTCAGGGCCCTCAGGGGGATTTATGTCCTCCTCGGGTTCTCTTCTACTCTCTCTGCTTCCTGGTTACCACTAGATAAGCGACTTTTCTGGTTTCCTTTACCAGGGCCTTCTGCCATGATGTTTCCGACTTCTAGCCAGCTGACCATGGATTGAATTCCCTCAACTATGAGAGGCATTAAACTTTTCTTTCTTTTAAGTTATGGGTATCAAGTATTTGTTGAGCAACTGGAAAGATGACTAGTACAAATCCAACAGTTAATACAGATAATATGGCCAAGCCCAAAGGCAAGGGCTCAGAAATGTACTCTTGCCCACAGGAAAATCAGAACAGGTAGACCTAGCAGCCACATTCAGGGAGGAAGGGACCTATGATGTTTCCCTGAGGGTGAGAGAAAAAAGAACAATTTTTACTGGACAATATTAAAGCCAGAGAAGTACACAGACTCTGGTCTACTATTCGTTGTAGTAAGTAATATTTTATAGGAAAATATTCACATTTATTCATTAATATACAGTCTTTGGTGAGTTGATGTGCCAGCAGCAGCATTGAGTTTTGGGACAGATGGAAAGTCCCCAGATTCCCAAATATTGACACTTTAGCCCTGCACAGGAGTAGTGTGCCTTCTGATGACTGGTGTACAAGAGCAGACGTGTTGGTTGGCTGCACACCTAGAACCAACACTGCGTGGGAAGGAGGGGCTTCTGGCTTTCCAATGTTCCACATGTTACCCCCAATTGTTCGCCACGTAGTAAAGTTATATATTTTCTGGCTCCTTCAGTTTCATTAATTCCTAGTAGTCCATTGTAATATGTTAATTTTTTGTCTTTCCAAGTCAGTTTAGAGTCTTGGAGCCCATTATTTATGATTCTTTTGTCATATATCTCATTTTCTAATCATTAAAACCTCAAAAGGAATGATTATTGTTACATGTGTACAATAAACAGTGATTTTCATTTTCAACTAATTTTGTTTCTGAATGTTTATGTTTTTGAGTTGATAATGGTTTCTGTCTAAATCCATCATTTCATATAGTATATAATTAAAAATACAAATTTTTAAATAAGTATTTGTCCAGTGATTTTTATTTTTTCTTTTCATATATTTTTTATTTTATTAATATATTTATTCAAAAATTTTTATTATAACAGCAATTTTGATTATGTAAAATTATACATAAATGGTTATCTTTTTTCCATTAATTTTATTGGTACATTTAAGGCAAACAATACAGTTACATTTATCATTGGGATTTTGTAACTTTCCATGGTTATTCTTTTTTTTTTTTTTTGGTACCGGGGATTGAACTTGGGTCCTTGCGCTTGCTAGGCAGGCCTCCGAACCACTGAGCTAAATCCCTGGCCCCTCCATGGTTATTCTTAATAAATATATCATTACAATTTGTTCTGGTTCCCTTTGTTTCTCTTGAGTTCTGCAGTCAGTCTTATTGTTTCTCTTGGTAAATGACATAATTAGTTTATCTATGTAAATTAAGATTTTTGGCTTTGTACTTTATTTTAAACTATAGAGTTAAGGCTACACGTGACTTTAATTAGCATTCTCTCTTGACAGTGCATAGTTTTAGGATTTGTGGACTAATGTTTTTTAACAGTTTTGAAAATATATACAATGGTTTCTGTTAAAAAAGTTTCTTTTTTTCTCTGCTGAATTCCACTTACATGTAGGTTTTACACCTTTATGAGATTTGATATATCCTTTATACAATCCTAACTAGTTTACATTAAATATTTTCTTAATTTTGATTTAGTTGGTTATATGTTATCACTTTTCAATTTAATAATTCAATTAAGTTTATTGAATTCTTAATTATTTTACTCACATTTTCAAAATTAGAATTTAAATAGACTCTATGGTGATTTTTCCAGTTGTAATATATATGCTACAAATTTACTTCAATTATTTTGTATTTATGTTTATTCTAATATTTCTTATATGCAAACAAATCAGTATGTTGTTCAGATTTTATTTATTATTAGCTCTTCTTTACTGTAGAACCTGAGTTGGAAGTATCACTTGAGCTCAACATTTCAGATTATTCTGGACAGAATAAACAAATCCATCTAAAAAAATGAAAGAAAAGAATTGAAAGAAGGAAGGAAAGACATATCAGCCATTTGCCCAGAGAAAACTAACATAAATAAGGCTATTGTCACAGATTTATCTCCCTCTGTTTGGGCCCACTCTATAAGACATACTTCCTATTCAACTAAATGTGCTTCTTAGCAAATTCTGAAGATTAGTGATGGATTACTTTCTCATCAGCTTGTTTTGGACAACACTTCAAATGAGTCTGGTTACTTGCCTGGGAAATAGACCCCAGAAATTGCAGAAATGTCAAAGCACCTCAGTGAATAACTTTGCTTTGTGTTAAACTCAGTATTTTAACAGTACACCATTTTGAAGATTGTATTTTGTCATTCCTCCAACTGTGGTTTGCTAGCCTCGGGAATGGGGTAGAACACAAAATTTGGCTGATTGCTGATTATGCATATCTCAGCAGACTCCTGCCTGCCTCCTAGCTTTAAAAACAGTGGATTTCAACTTACATTTTCAAAAGTTCTTTGCATTTAGAATAGTGGTAACTTTAATCCTTCTTCTGTCCAGCATTTCACTGCAGTTTGTGATATCAGTTGGAGTTTCCCAAGTGAAGCCAGTTTTGTTTTAGTATGGAAGCAGTTTTTATCTGGAGGAAATCAGAACGCATGAGCACAGACATTTGATGAGGACCTGGCTTTAGGGTTAAAATAAAAATCTAATGTCAAATTCTTACTTAGCCAATGTCTCATGGCTGTGAAAGAATTATGCTTGCTATATTATTATCTAAATAGTTATATTATTTTCTAAATAGTTAAAATAAACGGGAATATTTGACATGCAATTTGGTGCCATATTAGCTGGATTTTTGCTGATATTTTCAATATGGATGACACAAGTTATGGTTTGGATCTAGAAGGTCCTTGGAAACATTCATGCAATCAGAGGCAGGGCTTATAAAAGGTGACTGGATCCAGGAGTGCTCTGCTCATCAGTGTATTCCTTTACTGATGATGCAGGAGCCCAGTGAGTGCTTAGGAGGTGGGGCCTCCTTATTGGCTGGTCCCTGGGAGGGTGGTCTTGAGGGGTGTATCTCCCTCAGAGGCTCCTTTGCTCTCTAGCTCTGCTTTTTGCTGGCCAGGTGTCGGACAGCTTACACTCTTAGCAGGCCCTTTCACCTTGTCGCTTCTGCATTGGAGTCTGCTGGGTATCGGCCAAAATAACCCTCTCCTCCTCATCGATGAGGGTATTAGGTTTTTTGTCTAAGAGAGGAGAAATGTGTCTAAGACAACTCTGACACTTATCCCCTAGGCAGAATTTCTTTTCTAAGAAATGAAAAAAAAAATTGACAGAATTAAAGCAGTAGGTGATAGGATGCACCCACTGGTGAAGCAAATGACGTAGAACATGACGATGCACACGATCTTAAATGGTCTGATGTAAATACAGATATTATTGTTGAAGTAGACATTTTAAAAATGCAGATGAAGCCCATGGGCAAACAGAACTCATATGAAAGATTTAAAAGACTTATTTTAAAAAAAAGTTTGCATGGTCTGTGAGGAAGCATTAACATTTCATGCCCAATAAGTTTAGGACCCTAATTATCTAAAAAGAGCTATGCCTTCCTTTCTCTGTGTGTGTATGTCTTATTCTAACACCACAACCACTCACATGTGAGTAATCACACAGAAATACATACATAAGTGAAACTAAACAGAGCAATAATACAAAGCAAAATGTATGATAAAACATATTTTATGTAATAATATATCTGTGCAAAAATGAGAGTGAAATTTTATCATACTTTATAAAGCCTAAAAATAATGCAGGCATGTTTGTATAAATACCACATAAAATAATAGAGTCCAGCTGGCTGGCTGAATTTAATATTTTAGATAACTTTGTCTATAGTTGGTGTTTTTAAAGACATTTTAGCTTTTCATGTGAAGAATATGTGAGATAATTCTAGTAAAATGGGAGGTCATAGCCAACAGGCTAAGAAGGTGTGAAAATTCCTCAGTAGAAGCCGGAGGACCAGTATCTTCCATAGCACAGGGGGCTGCAACAGCCATAACTATAGTTACCATAGCCGCCCCCATGGCCACAGCCCAGGCCCCCACGGCCACAGCCCAGGACACCGTAATTGTGGCCGTAGTAGCGCATGGTGTCGGAGTGGACTGTGCACATCTCCAGTCTGTCGCTGCCAAGGGCCCCTTGTACTTCTCTGAAGGTGGGTGGGGAAACCACAGGCAGTGCAGCTTCCTATTATCTCACCCATGGGATTCAGACAATGTCATAAAAATGTATTGAGAAAACGAGGCCCTCATGGCAGATGGCTTTACTGTTAGGGCCGTATTCCATGACCAGATTATGGGCTGTTAAAATGAATTTCTTGTCCTATTTTCAAGATAGTTTTTCCTCTTGTCATGTAGAGGTACAAAATCCCAACAATGAATGTAACTGTACTGTATCCCTAAAATGTACCAATAAACTCAATTCAAGCTGAAAAAAAATATTTTTTTTATATATATTTAAAAAATATATATTATATATTAAAATATTTTAAAAAATATATTATATATTAAAAAATACATTTTTTAAATATAGGATAAAATGTATTTTATCCTATATTTAGTTAATTGTATACATATGACCAGATTATATGTTGTGGTGCAAATCATGAAAATTAGGCATCCAATTTAATTACTGTTTTCTTTTGTTTCAATTCCTACACAGGAACAAGTTGGTCTATTTTCCTTTCCTCCCTCCTTCCTTTGTTTTTTTCCTTCCTTCCTTCTCTCTCCTCCCTCGCTTTCTTTCTCTCTCCCTCCCTCTCTCTTTCTTCCCTCCATTCATATCCCTCTCTTCTCTGGTTTTGAAGAGTCCTGTTTCTAGGAATTCATTCCCCGACTCTTGCTCATGATGAATGAGCTATGCTTCTGGTAATTGGTGGAACTTACTATCATGTTTGCGTATAGAAGACATTTTAACTAAGTAAATAAATGGCCATTTTATGGATGAAACCTCCACGCTTGTCTTTGTCACCCCGCATAAATATAGTGTAGACATATTAACCACATTAAGGTTAACATGGAGCTCCATTTCAACTAGTATGTGCCTTTTTACAAAGTCAGGGTTTACTTTAGTTTTCGCAAATGGCTTACAGGTACAGCAGTGACATTGATTTTCAAGTGTATGAGAGTACAAGAGGATCAAGGAATCTGTGTACACCTTTGCACAGATGTTAGCCAATAGGCAAAGAATTAGAAGTACAGTTACTAAGTCATGGATTTATGTTTTATGTATTGCTCTAAAATTTTGAATTTATTCAATGTAATTTACATAAAACAAAATAATGCTGCTATAGAAGAACAGCTTGATGGATTTTACAGTCAAAATCAATTAAATAAGTACTATCATTTCTATTATAGGTATTGGAAGGTATTTAAAGGAAGAAAAGGCTTCGCCTTGGATTTTGTGTTACTGTACACAAGTGAAAATTAATTTCTGTAAAATGAGAGCAATTTTAATCTGGTGAAAATCAGCATGCATGAGCACACATATTTCATTAAAACTAGGGTTTGGGGTAAAAATAAAATAAATAAAAATCAAATGGTAATTGGTTCCTGGCAAATATGTCATGATTTTAGAAAAAAAATCCTCCTGAAATAAACAATGCATATATTATTTTCTAAATCTTTCAAATAAACAGGTATATGTACAGACTTATTTGGAGCCCTGTAAGCCAGAATGTTATTATTTTTGCTGACATATTTGTGCCTTATCAGTTATGCTTTAGATCTGGAATGTCCTGGAAAATGTTCTTCAGACATACAGAAGCAGGGTGGTGGGAAGGTGAGCGTGTCACAGGTAAAGTACTCAGGAGCGTATTCATCACTAATGTGTCCAAGTGCAGTGTGCCCTTAGGAGGTGGGGTTTGATAAGAAGCTGGTCACAAGGTGTGTGATCCTGAGGGTGTATCTGCCTCCCTGGCTCTTCCTTTCTCTCTCCTTTTGGCGTGAAGTGAGATGCAGAGCTTACTCTGCACGTAGTTTTTGTTTTGTTTTCACCATACCATTTCTGCATGGAGGCTGCTAACCATGAGCCGTGTGGGTGTCAGTCATTTTATCTAAGAGACAATGAGTGATGTTTGTAAGACACCACCTGTAATCATTCCTTAGGCAGGATTTTTTTTAAAAATTAAAAACATCTTTTCATAGACTTAGAACTCTCAATGATATAATCCAACAGGATGTCCCAAAAGACACGAAGCACACATATATACTGTTTTAACTGATCTTATGTGAATACAGATGTTTTTGTACAAATAGACATTTTAAAATCTTAGACAAAAGGCATAAGTAAATACAAACAGGAGATGAGATTAAAAAATCCATGTAAACCTAATTAGTATGATCTATGAGAATGAACTGATATTTTACACATTCAGTTTAGACCCATAATTATCACGAGAGCTCCCTCTCTCATTCTTTCTCTTCTACGTTCCTTTCTTTGTGTGTCTATTATTTTCTCATACACACACAGCATAACTAATCACACACAATTACACAATTATAATCAATTTTCTTAATGGAGAACAGTAGCAAAGCACATTGAAAAATAGTTTATTTAATAACATATCTCTTAAAATGTGAGTCAAATTTGATCATATTTTACAGTGATATAAGAATAATATGGATAATTTTCTACATGCTATCACAAACTGCAAATGTCACTGATGAGTGTGAAAATATCTTGCTTGATTGAATATTTTAAAGTTATTTTTATATAGTTGTTTTATATATAGTTGAAGACATTTAAAAGTTTCTTGTGTGAAAAAAATTAGAGAGAATTCCAGTGAAACAGGAAATTATAGCCAATAGACCAAGAAGCTGAAGGAATTCCTCAGTAGAAGCCAGAGGACCAGTATCTTCTACAGCACAGGGGGCAGCAACAGCCATAACCATAGCTGCCATAGCTGCCATAGCCACCACCTAGGCCACCATAGCCATAGCCCAGTCCTCCATAGTAGTTACTGTAGTAGCTCATGGTGTCGGGAGTGGACTCTTCAGCTGACTGTCAGAAGTAGGTGTTTTCTGGGTGGATGTCACTGTCATCTGCCAAGAGCTTTTATACCTCCTTGGTGGTGGGTGGGGAAAACCACAGGCAGTGCAACTTCCTGTTATCTCACTAATGTGCTTCTCACTAATGGCATAAATATGTAGCTATTGAGAACACAAAGCCTTCCTAACTGAGGTAATTTTGGTCTCCTGAAAAAATTCCCTGATCAGATTGTGGGCTTTTAAAATGAATCTCTTGTTCTATCTTCAAGACTCTGGTTTATTCTATATTTAACTAATTGTGCATGTATGGCTGGACTACATATTGTTTTGAAAATCATGAAAATTAGGTATCTCATTTTTAGTTTTGTTTTGTGCTGTTTCAATTCCCACACAGTAACAAGTTTGTCTTCCTTCCTTCCTTTGTTAATTTCTTTCTTTCTTTCCTCTCCTTCTTTCTTTCCTTTCCTTTCTTCTGCCTCCTTTCCTTTCCCTTCCTTACCCTTCCCTACCCTTCCTTCCCCTCTTTCTTTCCTTCTTTCTTTTTCTTTCTTTCTTTCTTTCTTTCTTTCTTTCTTTCTTTCTTTCTTTCTTTCTTTCTTTCTTTCTTTCTTTCTTTCTTTCTTTCTTTCTTTCTTTCTTTCTTTCCTTCTTTTTCCTTCTCTCTTTCTTCTCTCCTCCCCTCCACTTCCCTTCCCTTCCCTCTCCTTTCCCTTCTTGAATAGTCTGTCTTTTCTGTAGGAATTTATTTCCTGACTCTCATTCATGATGGAAATGAACGTTTCTGTTGGTAATTTGTGTGGCCAGTCACCATCACATTTGTATAAAGAGGATATTTAAATTAACCTTAGTTGTTCAGTAAATGGTTTCAAAGTTTTCAGGAAACAACAAGTGGACATTTTGTGGACAGGAAATGTATACTTGTCTTTGTCCCCCTATATAAAAATCCTGGGGATGTAACAGTGAAGTACCCTATGGTTAATTTATTGCTTCATCCACAAGTACTACTTCCCTTTTTGCAAGGTAAGAGTTTACTCTGAATTTCACAAATTGCTTGTGCTTACTCTTGAAATCTGAGAGGCAGTACATGAGGAGTGTGGATGAGGTATTAATGGATATAAGAATAGTCAGTCATGAATTTATATTTTTGCATTGTATTACATTTTTAATTAAATGTATTATAATTTTCATAAATAAACCCAATATAGAAGTACAGCTCAATACATTTTACAGTTACCATCTATTTAAATTATGTGGTATCATTTTAATTTATGGTATTAGAATGTTCTTAAAAGAAGAAAGAAGCTTGCCTTTTGATTTTATGCTGCTGAATTCAGGTGACAACTCATTTCTTTTAGAATTGAAGCAATTTTAATCTGGAGAAAATCAGCACTCATGAGCACATTTGATAATGACCAGGATGGGGGGGTTAAAAAACTCTAAAGTCAACTTTTTCCTGAACAGTTGTCTCATGATTTTAGATAAAATTATTCTTGATATGTACAGTACACATATTATTTTGTGAATGGATAGAAAAAATTTCTGTCTGTTCAAAAGCTCTTGGTAAGCCAGAATGTCAATAGTTTTCCTGCCGTTCTCTATATAGTAACACCAGTAATGATTTAGTTTTAGACCGTGCTGGAAAACACTTATGAGCTTGGAGGTGGGCCTTTGGAAAAGTGACTGGATCTTGGGGTGCTGGACCTAACCAATGTATTCATCTACTAATATCTCAGAAGCTGAGTGTGCTCTGAGGAGACCAGGCTGATTGGAGGCTGCTTCACTGTGGTGTGATGAGGAAGGGTGCATCTCCTACCCCATCCCTTCCTTTCCCTCTGCTTCTTGGCTATTGTGAGATGACTATTTTAAACTCTGCCCAGGCCATTTCACCCTGGCATTCTTGCCTTGGACTCAGCTGACTATGAGACAGAGTAAAAATCTCTTCCTTTAAGTTTAGGGTGTCAGGTATTTGTGGAAGTAATTAGACAACATCTAAAATCATCCTCTAGGAAGAATAGTTTTTAAAAATGAAAAACATTGTTCAGGGTTTGTGCTCTAGCTGGTATAATCCAGCCACTCTTATTGTAGATGACACAGCACATACAGATACCACAACTTTATATCATCTGATGTGAAAACAGATGTTATTGTTGAAATAGCCATTTATAAAACTTAGATGAAGAGCACAAAAATGGTAGTTGAGATGTATATAAAAGCAAAATTCTATGATCTGTGAGAAAGATATGATATTTTTATTCATTCATTTTAGACCCTTACTTTTCACACAAAAAAATCTCCTCTCGGCCTTTTGGCTAAGATAAAGTATAATTACCACAAAAGAGCTTGCTATTTCAGTTCTGCCTTCCCCACTCATCCTACCATCCTTTCTCTCTTTGTCACATTCCTTCATTTTTTTTTTCCCAGTACCAGGGACCTAATTCAGGACTTTGTGATTGCCAGGCAGGTGAAGCACCACTGAGCTACCCCTCTGTCATTTTCTTTGAGAACATCACAACCACATATCTGTGATTAATCACAAATAAATATGCAAATAAATAGATAAAACTCATAGTAGAACAGTACCAAAGCCATATTTATGTGATAATAAATATTTATTTAAGAATACACCTTGAAATTAAAAAATTGAGAGCCAAAATAATACAGAAACTTTGCTGCAAACTAACATATAATCTATAAACTAACATATAATGCAGATGAATCCAAATGGAATGCCATATTTTCTTTGCTGTCCAGAAAATTTAGTGCATGGTTTCTGTTTCTGAAGATATTTGAAAATATATTCTGTACAGAAAGTTGGAGAAAATTCCAATACAACAGGAGGTTGTTGTCAATAGGTTAAGAAGCTGTGGAAATCCCTCAGTAGAAGCCATAAGAACAGTATCTTCTATAGCACAGGGGGTGGTAACAGCCATAGCCACAGCCTCCATAGCTGCCATAGCCACCATAGGCACCATAGCCACCATAGCCACAGCCATATCCACAGCCTAGGCCACTGTAGCCGTAGCCCAGACCTCCATAGTAGTTGCCCCAGTAGCTCATGGTGTCAGGAGTGGACTGTTCTGCAGAGGAACAGAGTAGGATTTTTACTTCTGGATGTCATTGTCTGCCTAGAGCCTTTTATACCTCCTCGGTGGAGGGTGGAGAAACCACAGGCAGAGCACCATCGCATTATCTCATTAATGGGCTTCGGACAATGTCATGAATATCTTGATTTATTGTGAAAACAAGATCCTCATAACTGAGATAATTCTGCTGTCATTCCAGGACTCCATGATTTAATTATGGGCTTTTAAAATGAAATACTTGTTGTGTTTTCAAACCTTTGGTTAATTGCATATATAGTTAATTGTGTATGTAAGGCCAGTCTACATAGTGTGATGTAAATCATGAAAATAGTATGCCATTTTTAATTTTTGGCTTTTATTTCTCCACAAGGTCAAGCTCTTTTTTATTTTTTCTTGTCCTTTCTTTTCTCCTGTCTGTCTTTCTCCATGACCCCCCTCATCCTGGGCTACCTTGTATTTTCTTAAAAATTCTCAGCTATAGCAACCAAATATCCCAACTCCTGCTCATTATTTATTGCCTATTATTGACAATTATTACCATACTTGTACCCAGTATCTATTTAATCTTAAATTATTCCTTGAGTGAATAATTTCAGACTTTCCAGAAAAATAACCACTTTATGGACCAGAAACCCTGTGTGTTCTGTGTTCTTTTTGTCACCCCACGTAAACCCACTGTGAATGTTCCCATGAACTGTGCCACAGGAGTGATCCTTCCTGGTCACTTATATATGTTTATGAAAAAGGAGGTTTACATTTGTTTTCCCCCTGATCTGCAGGCACAACAGTGACATTTCTTTTGAAGCGTTTGTGACAGTGTCCGAAGAATCAAAACAAGCTGCGCACTCCTTCTTTCTTCCCTCATCTCCAGTTGATAGATGAACTTTTACTGGAAATGGTGGTACTCAGTGCTGGGCTTACATGTTTCATTTTGTCTAAAATATTTAATAGAATTTATTCAAAATAATTGCTTAAAAATCAGGCTGATTTCTGATGAGTATAACTCAAGGGGTTTTATAGTCAAATCAATTTAATCATTTTGTGGTATCCCATCTTTCTAAATTCGGATGTTGAGTGTTTTTCATAAGCAAGATATTTTTCTCAGTTTTTACAGTTGCTGAACAAAATTTGCTCTGACTCCACAAATCCCACCAGTGGTGCACCTTGTTACGCTTCCTCCACACTGAAACTAATCATAATCGCTTACATAGAATGAAAAAGCTGCTTTCACCCAAGATTCCTGTTCAGATTATTTGAGATATCTGAGAGTAACTTCACAGCAGATCTCTAATTGCAACCAACCAACTTCTAATCATCTCAAGACAGTTTATTATGTGAAATCTGTTACTGTCACTATGTCTTCTATTATTGTGGGTGTCTTGTCCACAGCATGAAATGCTCTATGTGGGAAAAGAACAAATGCACAAAGCAGGAGGCATCACAATTACAAATTTCAGATCATATTACAAAGCTACAGTGATAAAACGAGCATGGTATTGTTGAAAATGTGCGCACACACACAAACAATATGGATTAATGGAATAGAATAGAGGATAAAGAAAAATCTCAGGTACAATCAACCATCTGATTTTTGACAAAGTTGCAAAAACACACGCTAGATAAAATGAAGCCTCCTTAACACATGGTGAAGAGAAAACTGGCTTAATGAGTGTAGAAGATTGAATCTAGAACTTTTTCACCAGCACTAAACTAACTCAAAATATATCAAATATTAAAACAAAATATCTAAATATTAAAACAAACAGTACAGTAAGAGTCAAAATTTTTAGAATCCTTGAAGACATAGCCATAGGGCCAGGACTTTCTCAACAGGACCCAATGATGCAAGAAATAATACCAAGAATCAATAAATGAGATTATACCAAATTAAAAAGATTTCACACAGCAAAGGAAACAGTAAGAAATAACTTACAAAATAGGCAAATAATTCCCAGCTACTTTTATAGACAAGACTAATGTTTAGAATATATAAAGTGCTCAAAAAAATTAGACTCGGTAAAATAAAAGATTGAATCCAAAAAAGGAGTGACTTATGCATAAACATTTCCCAGAGAAAGAAGTACAAATGGCCAACAAATACATGCAACATCTTTGGACCTTACAGAAATACAAATTTAAATAACACTGAGCTTCCATCTTACTCTCAAAAGAGTGTATATCATCAAAAAGTTGAATAATAACATATGTTTGGGAGGTTTCAGAAAAGAAGGAACTCTTCTCTATTTTTGGTGTGAATGTAACAAGTACAACAACTATGGATAATGCTATGGAGATTCTTCAAAAATCTGAAATTAGGAATTTCAGGTATTACCCTTCTAGGAATCTTCCCCCAAATTTAATTACATCACATTTCACTGATAAACCCATTCCCGTGTTTATAGCAGTTATCACTCATAAAAGCAGATGAATGAACAAAGAAAATATAGTGCTAATACACTACACAATAGAGTACTACTCTGTTGTAAAGAGGGATACATTTGAGTTATTTGTAAAAAGACTGGTGAAGAGTATAATCTTTCTGGAGCTTTTTTTTTTTTTTTT